AACAATTGGTTTTCAAAATGTTTGGTCTTTAGAAGCTCTGCGTGGCGACATCCCCGTCGCCACGCGTGCCCTCTGCGTGCCTGCGGGGGCGCCGCCACGTAGAAGTACTGGAGACCGAGCATTTGGGGCGTCGCTACGCACGCCCTCTGCGTGGCTGCGACCATTTGTTCAAGCCCTAAAAACCAACTAAATTCACTACTAAAGTACCCTTGCGAAGGTCGCCCGGCCTTACTCTGCGGGCTGACTGCAGTTGTCAGCTCATGACGGGGGGGGCGCCCGTGGCGGCGACGGCGGCCCGGACGGGCACGGGCGGGCTCTCTGGCAGAGCGCGCACGACCCTGGCGTGGTCGGATGCCCTCGGGCGCTCCTCCCTGGAGAGCCAGGCGTCTTCGCCCAGTCTCGGGTCCCCAGAAACCCTCACGGACCGATCGGGCTCGAAACGTGGCCCAGGAGGAGGGCTCTAGTCGTGATGGATCGCGATATTGCATTTTTCTGGCACCGTCGCGTCGCGAAAAGATCACGACGCGGGGGGAGGGGTTCTCGCTGTTTCTGGCCTCTGGGGACCCTTGCCCAGCCCCGGGGCCGTTAAGGAACGACTCGGGATGAGGAGCCGGCCCCAGGGAGGGTCGCCAGACCTCTGGGGGCCCCGCACGGAGAAACCCAAGACGCCGGAGGCCTGCAGGGGTTCGGAAGCAACCCCGGAGAGGTCTTCGTGAGAACCATGATGAGCTCTGGCGAGAATCCTGGAGGCCTTGCGCGGCAACCTGAGACCCAACTCACGTCGGATCCACGTCGGATTTGCGCTGGGCTTGCGCCGCGGGGGGCGGCGCCGAGGGGTGGGCGGCATCCTGAGGAGGCGGAAGGACCTTGCGGCCTCCGGGGGCCCTCGCCGGGCCCTGCCGGCTGGGCCTTCTGTTGGGTCCTGGAGGCTTCCAGGAAGGCTTCTTAGAAGCCTCCAGGGGCGGCAGCGACAACGGCGGCGGCCCTGACATCCTCGCGCGTGCAGGTCAACAATCGAGGATTGAAGGGTTCGAGGTGCGAACTCCGACATTTCTTCGCCCTTCTTTGGGCCTCCAGGAGGCTCCTCGTCGCCACAGCTGGATCTGCCTCGAAATTCTGCGCAGGCGCACCCCATCTGATGACTGTTGGGTTTCCAGTGGTCCTCCTCCTCCTCCTCCTCCTCCTCCTCCTCCTCCTCCTCCTCCTCCTCCTCCTCCTCCTCACCCACCTCCTCACCCCCCCTCCCTTCCTCCTTCCCTCCCTCCCTCCCTCCTCCTCCTCCTTCTCCTCCTCCTCGTCCTCACCCCCCTCCCCCCTCCCTCCTCCCTCCTCCTCCTCTTACTGTTCCTTTTCCTCCTCCTCCTCCTCTTCCTCCTCCTCCTCCGCCTCCTCTCTCCTCCTCCTCATCCGCCTCCTCCTCCTCCTCCTCCTCCTCCTCCTCCTCCTCCTCCTCCGCCTCCTCCTCCTCCTCCTCCCTCCATCCTCCTCCTCCTCCTCCTCCTCCTCCTCCTCCTCCTCCTCCTCCTCCTCCTCCTCCTACTCCTCATCTTCCTCCTCCTCCTCCTCCTCCGCCTCCTCCTCCTCCGCCTCCTCCTACCCCTCCTCCTCCCTCCTCCTCCACCTCCTCCTCCAAGAGCTTCACGGATTGAGGACGGCTCGTTTTCAAAATGTGGCTCTCGCCTTAGCGCCGCGCACGTTCGTGTTAAAGGAATTGCAAGAGTTTCACGGGTTGAGAGCGGTTCGTTTTCCAAATGTCGTTTTCAAATAATCTGAAGAGTTTCACGAATTCCCATGGTCGACGTACCATAAATGGCGTGTTGGAAAGATTCAGGGAACAGTTACGTTGATTCGCGGTGTTGACGTCCCATGAACGGCGTTCCAGCACGAATCAGGATCGTCAAGATGCAACAGTCAGGTTGATCCGTAGCCTTGGAGTCCCAAGCATAATGTTTGGCATGCTTCAGGGTCTTCAAACGGCTGTCTTCCAACGAGGCAGGTCCCTCTGTGGAAATGAACCGTTGTGGGGGCCTTTGAAGAGGGAGCTTGGAGGGAGGGTTTATGATGACTCTTGGGTTTACACTGGTCCTCCTCCTCCTCCTCCTCTTCCTCCTCCTCCTCCTCCTCCTCCTCCTCCTCCTCCTCCTCCTCCTCCTCCTCCCCCTCCCCGTCCCCGTCCGCCCCTGCCCCATCCTCTTCGCCCTCCCCCTCCTCCTCCTCCTCCTCGTCCTCCTCCTTTTCTTCGCTCCCCCTCCTGACCGTCCTCGCGCCACCCCATTCGTGAGCGCCGCCAAGGACCTCCTCGCCGGGGCGGGGCCGGCTCCAGCCTGAGCTGGGGGCCGCCCGCTCCGCGTCGGCGGAGGGCGAGCCCTGTGCCTCGAGGAGGGAGCAGCACGAAAAAAGGCCGATGGCGCCGCTCGATACTACCCCGGGCGCGAACATGCTCGCGTCGTGAAAAAAAACACGACTGACGGTATGTCTTCGGCCTCCAGGGCTGGGCCCTCGAGGCCGTCGAAAACGGCTCGGGCCAGGGACCCCGCGTTGAGGAGATCAGGACGCCGCATGTCCGGGAACCTGCGTTAGCGCCAGCGTGTGCTTGTCCACCACCGAAGCTTCTCAATATGGCGCGGGCAGCGTAATGAGGGTCGACACAAGCTGCGTGCTATCGATGGTGGCGAACGGGGTACACCACACACACACACACACACACACACACCGGGTATTGACAGGAGTACCCCTAGCCCAAGGTACCCCCAGGATTTCCAAGGAGGCCCCCACGGTCTCCAGAGCACCAACCCCCGAACACGTTGGGCTAACACACGCCAGGAGGATCATAGAGCCGCTCCCTCGACCTCTGCTTGGGGGGTGCCCCCTGGCGAAAGCCCCGAGGCGGATCAGGGCTGTGGCGGCCCTAGAGGCCCTCAGCGGCCAGAAACGAGATACGGGTAGCGGTATCGGACAACATGCCTTTTTGTTACTACGTTGGGCCCTAGAGGTCTGGAAACCAATTCCCAGGGCCCTGCTCTTCATCCTGAGCCTTTCTTTGACGGCCCTGGGGCCCCGATGAGGGCCCCCTGGAGGCCGAAAACTTACATGCACCGTCCGTCGTGGGTTTACAACGACGTCAGGGGGCCTGCTTCAGGCCACAGCTCGAGCCCCCAGCAGCCGATCGGAACGAGATCGGGCACCCCCAGAACGCTCTCGACGGGGCGCAGCTGCTGGAGGGCATCCCGAGGCGAGAGGAGCCCTCCAAGAACCACCGAGACGTCCGAAGGCCCCGGAAAATCGAGCAGGGCGCCGGGCTCGATCTGGAGATCCAGAATCGATCCCTGGACTTAAGTCGGGCCTGCCCCCCTACTAGGGGATTTTCGAAGCAAAATAATAATAATGATGATAATAATAATCATCATCATCATCATCATCATCATCATCATCATCATCATCATCATCATCATCATCATCATCATCATCATCATCATCATCATCATCATCATCATCATCATCATCATCATCATCATCATCATCATCATCATCATCATCATCATCATCATCATCATCATCATCATCATCATCATCATCATCATCATCATCAAAGTCTGGGGACTATTTGTTTGGTTGTTGTTCACCTGTTTGGAATACGTTTGGGGTATTTTCTATTTCTCGTCGAAAAGCCCCCTGTAGGGGGACACACCCGACTGAACCCTGGACCCTTCCCTGGGTGTGCTCCAGCCGGAAATTCCGAAGCGGATCCAGCCGTGGCAACCAGGGCGCTCCTGTGGAGGACCAGACAGGCAGAAGATGTCCGCTCCCTCCCAAGTGACATCCGCCGAAGTCTCTGTGGCAACTCGTGGGGGCCTCCAAGACCGTCTGGCTCGCTCTTGCGAGTCGACGCCAGTCGACCCAACATCGACGCTACTCGACGAGAAGTCGACGCTGATCGTCGGTAGCCGACGCTAAATCGGCGCTGTCTCATCGATCCCCAGACGCTGATCGACGATCATCGACGCGACAGATGGAATTAAGAGGGTACACTAGGCTCCCATGATTTGGTTTGCTACCGAACAAGCAAGCAAAAAACGTCCACTCGCCCCCCCCCCCTGACATCCGCCGAAATGGTGTTTCCAAGCCGCGGCCCCAGAGGTTCTGGCCGCACTCCCAGGAGGTAACCCGTCGCCCCGGATGCGCTTCCGACGGCCCCGGGGCACGATCGCGGGCCCGGGAGGCCCAAACCTGGGAAAAACGCCGGAATTGAAAATCGGAACTCTAATCTTAGGTCGGGCATGTCCTCCTACAGGCGGACTCTGGAGAAAAAAACAAAAAGTACCGAGGAAAATCGTCACCAGACTATTCTAAACTATTCTTGAAGATTCCTCCTAGGGACATGCCCGACTTAACTCGAATCTCGAACCTCTAGCCTCGAGCCTCGAACATCGAACCTCGAAGCCATGGCAAATTCGGCCTTGGCGACGTGGGCGCTCTTGGAGGCCCAAGGAGGGCGAGAAACGTCCATGGTTGCGTGATCATCGACCCTGGACAGAGAAACATGCCTGCCCATGTTGGACATACACTGACAGCTCTCTGTCGATAGTTGGTTGATTATGAGCCACGCCTACATTTCAGAGCGGGGGCGCTGGCTGGGAAGGGGCACGCAATTCCTGGACCGACAAATCTTCCCCCGACTTGCGGCCGCCGCGATAGCCGCGGCGACCCCCTGAGGTTTGGCCTGGGGTAGGACCTCACGCCACGCGCCCAGAACCTCAAAGCCTGGAACCCAGGAACCTCGAGCCAGGGACCTCGAGCCAGGAACCTCGAAACAGGGACCTCGAGCCAAGAACCTCGGGCCTGGAACCTCGAGCCTGGACCCTCGGTGCCTCAGAGCCTGGAACCTCGGCCCCTCGGAGCCGGCGCCTCCTCGGCGAGGCGAGGCGCCCCCGGCGCGGCGCCCGCCCGCGCCGGCAGCGCGCCGCGCCAGGCCCGCAGCGCCCAGCGGGCGGCGAGCGCGGCCGCGTCCTCCGCGCAGCGCCTGCAGAGCTCCACGGCCGCGGCGGGGCGGCGCCGCAGCCGCGCGCGGCACCGCCAGGCCTCAGCGGGCAGGCGGTGCTGCCGGCTCCCGGGGGCACCCCACCCTGCGCAAAGCGCGCCCCGCGTGGCGCGCGACGCGCGATTGCCTTCGCGCCCTCTCGCGCCGCCGCCCCAGAGAAGGGGGGGCGCTCCTCCGGCCGGGGCCGCGAGGCGCGGGGGCGCGAGCACCTTCGCGCCCCCGCGGGTGACCCGAGGTTCCCATGTTCGGCGCTGTTTTGTGTTCTGGTTCCGCCGCCGTTCTTGTCCAGGTTCCCTCGCCATTGTGTTCTTGCTGTGGCTCTGGCTCAGGTTCCGGCGCCACGGCTCGCGCTGGTACGCCGGCGTTTTTTGACAGTTTCCACGATCGCGAACCAGCGTTTTCGGAAACGGTGACGCACAGAGACATACTACAGCAGTACTGTATGCCCTGCTTGGAGGCGCGTGTCCGACCCGAACATGTGGCACACCCATCTTTTAGCAGATCGTTTCCCGAGCGGTGTGGCCAGAAAGCGCCGGCCACGACACATATACTATAAGATTTCTCGGTGCGCGCGTCGCCCCCGGGGGGGCGACGCACATACAGTATCAGTATGCTGGGGTGACGCCGAGGTAAGAGAAACACTTTTGGTCGGCGGGGCGAGAGCGAACCTCTTCCGCTAAACGCTGGGCAGCTCAAATTGGGGAGACAGGGCACAGGCGGGCGGGGCCTCAGGCGGCCGGAACGGGCGGGGCCCGGGGTGCAGGCGGTGCCGAGGAGCGTGCAAAGGAAAAGATACGCCGTGGACAGGGGCCGGAGGCGAAGATCCAGAGGGTGAGCGAAGCTCTGGCCACGACACATATACTATAAGATTTCTCGGTGCGCGCGTCGCCCCCAGAGGGGGCGACGCACATACAGCATCGGTACGCTGGGGTGACGACGAGGTATTATATATACATAACACTATATTTGTTGTGATTAAGTCTATAACTAATGCTATTATTTTTTAATAGAAGAGAGAGAGAGAGAGAGAGAGAAAAAAAAAAAAAAAAAAAAAAAAAAAAAAAAAAAAAAAAAAATGTTGATACATCCATAAATATTACTAAGATTTATTATTTTATATATAAGAGAGAGAGAGAGAGAAAGAGAGAGAGAGAGAAAAGAATTATAATTATGAGAAAAAAACTTGCGGTTTCCAAGGCCCACTAAGCGCTGGGCGTCGAAGGCCTCCGCCAGCGGGGGCCGCCGCCGCGCCAGCCGGTCCTCGAGGCCTATGCAGCGCCTCTTGGGATCGGACGATGCCCTGGGATTCCTGGGGGAGGGAGGAGGAGGAGGGGGAGGAGGAGGGAGGAGGAGGAGGAGGAGGAGGAGGAGGAGGAGGAGGAGGAGGAGGAGGAGGAGGAGGAGGAGGAGGGGGAGGAGAGAAGAGGAGGAGGAGGAGCAGGAGCAGGAGGAGGAAAGAGGAGCAGGAGGAGGAAAGAGAAGGAGGAGGAGGGCAGCGGGTGAGAACGAGGAGGGGGACGAGAGCGACAGGGCCGAGGGCGACCTGCTCGGAAGGTCTGCTGGCATCGTCGTCGGTGCTTGGAGGCCTTCCTCTCGCTTCGGGATGCCTGCCAGCACCTGCACCTCGTCGAGAGCTTCCCAGGGTACCCGAATCGCCCCGGTCGACCGCTGGAGGTACGCGGATTGCCACGAAGAGCAGACATCCTCGCGTCGTGAGAAAAAAACTACGTAAAAACACGACGTAAGGTTTTGGGCAACGTTCGTTGTCCCAGGGGCCCTTACCAGGCCTGGGGACCGTCAAGAAACGAGTCAGGACGCAAAGCAAGTCCCCAGGAAAGGGTCCAGACGTCTGGAGGGTTAGATCAATGCGGCCGCGGCCGCGGGAAAACCCTCGGAAGAGACCCGACATTGAAAATGTGCGCGCGAGGTGCAACTGGGGGAAGCCCAGAGCACCCAGCGGCTTCGTAAGCCCGCGAGGTCGCCGCGCAGCGCGCGAGCCGAAGAAACCCGAGGCACCCGGGCGAATTGCATCCAGTGTCTTCATGTGCGCCCCCGCAATGAAGAAAGGGTTCGCGAGTCGGCTCCCGTAGCTGGAGCCAGGAGGCGCCAACCTATCGGGGAGAGGGCCTGGCGGCGCAGCCGAAGCCAGCTGCACCTGCAACAGAGTTCGAAGCACCCTCATTCCACACCCCCTTCCGGCCGCTCCGAGCCTCTTGGCCGCCCGCATCTGGCTGCCCATGGCGTCGAAGAGGGCATCGCGCTTCCGCTTGCGCTCTGCCTCCACGAGCCTGGAGCGGTCCGAGAATCAGCACAGGACCAACACTGTCGCAGGTCCGTGCGCACTGCGTGGATCCGCGCCGACCCCCCCTCCATGGATGGGGTCCAACTCGGCTGAAGGGGCCCTGGGACACACTAATCAATACACACAAATAGCAGGATGCCCCCTATTTCCCCATATTTTCTGGGTTATTTTCTGGGCTTCTGTCTTTTCCCCCCCACTGCCCATATGCTCCTATATTTCCTGGGAAATCGACGATGAATTGTGTCTGTGTGTTTTTTCCCCTCCTGATCGGCATCGTTAGACCTGCGGTCCGCAGCGTCTGCTCCGCGCGCCGCGGAGGGCGGCCACCCGGCGACGCGCGGCGCCGCGCGAGCGCGGAGAGCGAGCGTCGCTCCGCGCCGCGCGGCGGGAGGCGGGGGGAGGCCTCGGTCGGGCGTGTCCTCCTGCGGGTGAGCTCGGGCGAAAAACCAGAACCACGCGCGCGCTACGCGCACGCTTGGGTCCTATTGGAGGCCTGGAAATGATAGGGGGAAAACAAACCTACCTCGCTTTTGACCACCCTCGCTTCCAAGAGATACCAAACGATGCCAAATTGAAGCCTGTACTGGTCAGGCCGCTTGACGAGGAGGCGCGTGGTATGACTTGGTTTTGTCTGGAAGCGAAAGCGGGGGAGGTAATTCACGCTCTGAAATGAGCACCAACACCAAGACACGGGGCTGCCTCCACAGGGTGGAGACGATCCTAGAATTCGGTGTTGGTGGTAATAGTTCGGTCGCCTTGGAAGCCAGAATATCACCACCATCACCGAGATCGGGATTTCCTTCCCTCGGTGGAGGAACGCAGCCGAGCTTGGTGTTGGTGTCAACCTCTAGGCCTGCGATCCTAGTCGCAGGTGAGGCACGGGTGCCGCTGTAAGTCCCGACGTGGGCACGGCGACGATTTCCAGCGTTCCCGGGCCCATGCCGTCGACGCAAAGAAGCGCGTAGTCGGAAGGCTCTCGCTCTGCCGGGGCCGCCCTTCAGAGGTGGGAGGGGGAAAGCAACTTGTGAAATGATAGGGTATAGCGATGCCCCGCTCGCTCCGGCGGGGCCTGTCTGGCGCTCTGGCGGGGCCGTCCCATGAGAGGAGGGAAGAACACGAAAGCTGAGGGGCGAGGGGAGGAAGAGGACACAGGAGGAAATAGAGGCAAGCGTAGGGGGCGGGAGGGAAAGAAAGACGGAGGGGGGAGGCCCGGGCCATCAGGGCCGTCTTGGAGCACCCTGGGGCCTCCCGCTCCCGCTCCGTGGCCCAACTTGGGCCTGTCCTGGGGTTATCTTGGGCCGTCTGGGGCTCCTCCTGGACTATTTTCGGGTTCCCTGGGGCCGTCTTGGGGCTCTCTTGGGTGCCTCTTCGGCGGCATCGGGGCGGTCTTGGGGGCGTCTGCGGCCGTCTTCGAGCACTGGAAGATCAAGAACGCGAGAAAGCGAAAAGCATCGAACAAACCGATGCATATCAATGATGTAAGCCTCTATGGCCTCTCTGGGGGCGTCCCTCGGAGCTCTCTGGAGCCCTCTTGGAGGCCTCTTGGCCTCTTGGGCCTCCCGCTGCCGCTCTGTGGCCCAGCTTGGGCCTATCCTGGGGCTCTCTTGGCCAGTCTTGGGCTGCTCTCGGGCAGTCTTCAGGCTCTCCTGGGCCGTCTTGGAGCTCTTGTTGGAGCCTCTTCGGCGGCCTCGGGGCGATCTTGGGAGCGTCGCGTTCGAGCGTCGGAAGCTCGGGAACGCGAGAAAGCGAAAAACATGAGAAAAAAACTACCCGAAATTAAGGATATGGGCCTCTTCGGGCTCTCCCGGAAAGCCTCTCGGAGCTCTCCTTGGGCCTCTTGGAAGGCTCTTGGGCTGTATTGGCCGCGTTGGGCCCATCTGGGGCCACGTTGGGGCCATCAGGGCCATCTTGGAGCGCCTTGGGGCATCCCGCTCCCGCTCTGGGGCCCAGCTTGGGCCTGTCCTGGGGCTCTCTTGGGCCGTCAGAGGCTCGTCCCGGGCGATTTTCGGGTTCCCTGGGGCAGTCTTGGGGCTCTGTTGGGGGCCTTTTCGGCGGTCTTGGGGTGGTCTTGGGGGCGTCGTCTGCTGTCGTGGAGCGTCGGAAGGTCGAAAACGCGAGACTCCGATATATGCACATATACATACATACATACATACATACATACATACATACATACATACATACATACATACATACATACATACATACATACATACATACATACATACATACATACATGCATGCATACATACATACATACATATATACATATACATATACATATACATATACATATACATATACATGTACATATACATATACATATACATATACATATACATATACATATACATATACATATACATATACATATACATATACCTATACATACATACATACATACATACATACATACATACATACATACATACATACATACATACGTACGTACGTACGTACATACGTACGTACGTGCATGCATGCATGCATGCATGCATGCCTACCTACCTACCTACCTACCTACCTACCTACCTACCTACCTACCTACCACCTACCTACCTACCTACCTACCTACCTACCTACCTACCTACATGTACATGTACATACATTCATACACACAGACATGCATGCATGCATGCATACATACATGCATGCATATACACACACATATACATACATACATACATACATACATACATACATACATGCATACATACATACATACATACATGCATGCATGCATGCCTGCATGCATGCATACAGACAGACAGACAGACAGACAGACAGACAGACAGACAGACAGCCAGCCAGACAGCCATGCATATATGCACACACTTATACATGCATATATATATACATACATACATACATACATACATACATACAGGCATGCATGCATGTATACAGACAGACAGACATGCATACATACATGCATACATGCATGTATGCATACATACATACATTGTGTATATATGTATATACAGACATACATACAGGCATACATACAAGCACACAAACAAACAAACAAACCAAGATTCTCTTGTTTTGAATACGAATATATATATATATATACATAATATGTGTGTGGGCCTCTTCGGGCTCTCTCGGGACGCCTCTCGGAGGTCTCTTGAAGCCTCTCGGAGGCCTGTTGGGCTGTGTATATCCAGTCTGGTATCCATCTGGGGCCACGCTGGGGCTATCTAGGCTGTTTTTTTCTCCTCGGCCGACACTCCTACTTTGTCGCCGCAGCGCGGTGACTCTGCTCACACGCGCCATGCACGAGGGCGCCGGCACGGGCGAAGGCCTGGGGGTCAAAAGTGAAGCTTTCTCTCATATACAAACGAGGAGCATCTTGCCGCACACTGTCGAGCACAGCCGCTGCCCCCCGCGCCCCCCCCCCCACCAACTGACCACGCGGAAAGACTGGCGCTCGACGCCTCCCTTGCCTGTACACGTGATTGCGAAAGCGCGCGTGCACATGCACTAACAATCCAGCGCTTCTGACGATGAATGCCTGTAGAATGGAAGCCTGACTTGAGATCATTGCTGGAAGGTCCAGAGATCACTGCTGCAAGGCGGTGACTCTGCTCACGCGCGCCGCGCAGGTAGATCGAAGAAAGAAGCGCGTGGCGTTACAATGCATTAGCAAACTAGGTGGTCCAAGGAAAGAGGCTGCAAGCGATTGCGCAGCAAGAAGAGCAGGAGAAGCGAAGTGGCCAGCAACCGCATTTCAGACTCCGTCCAAAACAACGTCGCCAATGCCGATGCACATTCGCCTTATCCAGGCCCTACCCCAGGATGGGAGGAGAGAGAGAGAGGGGGGAAGAGGGTGGACAAGAGGAAGGAGGCTGCAAGAACAGGAGAAGCGAACTGGCCAGCGGCGGTCGCCAGTGCCAATGCAAATTCGGCCTGCCCAGGCCCTACGCCAGGATGAGAGCGAGGAAAGAGGGAGGACAGAGTAAAGGAAAAGTAAAAGCGTTTTGCTCAGCCAACACTCATACTTTGTGGCCGCAGCACGATGACTCTGCTCACACACGCCATGCACGATGGTGTCGGCGCTCAAGGGTCGAAGGGTCAAATGCGTGGCATTCCAAATACAAAAGATGAAAAACTTGCCGCAAAATGCCGAGCACAGCCGCGCTGCCTTCCGCGCCCCCCCCCCCCAACACTGACCTCGCCGAACCACTGGCGCTCGACACAGCCCTTTCCTGCACACGCGATTGCGGAAGCGCGTTTCTACACGCACGAACACACCAGCGCTTCTGACGAGGAAGGTCCGCATGCTTGAAACCTGACTCGAAATCCCTGCTGCAAGGCGGTGGCTCTGTTCACGCGCGCCGCGCCCATCCGGGCGTCGAATTCAGGCACGAGGTCGACAGAGGAAGCGCGTGGCATTACAATGCATATCAGGAGGGGGTCCGAGTAAGGGGGCTGCAAGCGCTTGCTCAGCAGCAAAAACAGGAGAGGCGAAGCGGCCAGCGACGAGCCGAGCCAAATGCCAATGCACACTCGGCTTGTCCAGGCCCTACCCCAGGACGAGGGAAAGGCGAGAGGGGGGACAGAGGGAAGGAAGAGAGGGAGGACAGAGGGAAGGGCGAGAGGGAGGACAGAGGGAGGACAGAGGGGGGACAGAGGGAAGGAAGAGAAAGGGTGCCACGGCGCCACCCTGGCCGCAGGGCTTTCCGGGTCGAAGGGGGCCCTTAGCCCGCGCGAACCAAAGCAAAGCTGGCAGCGGCCGGCGCCGGGGCCGCGCCCCAGCGCCTGAGTGCCGCCGCGGCCCTTCCGCCGAGCACAGCGGCCGCTCCGAGCGTCGCGAGGGCGGCCGCCGCCGCGGCGCCCGAGGACCCGCGCCCAGCCAGCGCCAGGCCGTCCATCACGAGCCTCGCCCACTTCGAGCCGGCCTCCGCACTGGCCTCGCACGCCGAGCACACGACCTCCAGGACCTCGCCGCAACTGACCTCCGCATTCGGGTCCGAGTTGCCGCCATCCTGGTGGAGGTCCGCGAGGGCCTCCCGGAAGAGCTCGCAGCAAGATGAACCGCCGCACTCTGCTGGGGAGCCGCCATCTGAGCTCTCGATCTCGCAGCCATCGCCCTTGCGCTCGCATACCTCATTCGGACTCGGCGTCGAACCTAGCTCCAGGCTCGGCGTCGCGCTTGGCGTCGTACTCGGCGTCGTGCTCGGCGTCGGGTTCGGTTGACAGCAGCACTGGCAGAGGTGATTTGCATAAGGTGCACCTCGTTCGCACTTCCAGCCGCACATCCGCGGCTCTGCAGTCGCGCCACATAAACGGTGAGACCCCTGACCGCAACTACATGGTGTGGTATGGTTTGTCAAGATGGTGAAGTCCTCGGTTGTCATTCCAGGCGTGACCAGGACCAGCGCAGAGGCTCGGAACACCCACGGCGTGCGCAGGCGCCCCGCTGCCGCGCCCGCGCCTGGCCTTGCCGCAGCCGGGCGCTCCGCTGGCCCCTTTCACGGAAACGCCGAGGCGCTGCATCGAAGGTGTGTTCCTGCCAGGTGGAGTTATGTTTTGCGGCGCGCGCTTCTGATATGCTCGATCGTGCTAGCGGCTTGAGCCAAAATGGTTACGGGGGCCATCTAGGCTGTCTTGGAGGGGCTTGTCGAAGTCCCCCGGGGGCTTCTGGGAGCGTCTTGGAGCTCTCTGGGGCAATCTGGGGGCTCCACGGCCCCTCCGTCCGGGGTGCTCTGGGAGAGGTCTGGGAAACCCCAGTCCTCCCATGCCCCCCCGAGCCCCGGGCCCTGGGCGCCCGGGCCTCTGGGAGCTTCTTGGGGCGTCTGGGAGGCCTCTTGGGACTCTTGGGGGCCATCTTGTGCGTCTCGGAGCGGCCTGCGCGTCTTGGAGCGGCCTGTGGGCGTCGCGGGTCCCCCCTGGAGCGTCTTCGGGCTCTCTTGGCGCTTTCTGGTGGCGTTTTGTGGGCCTCTGGGGCCCCCCAAGGGCCTGCGCACACACACGCACACACACACACACACACACACATGCACACACACACACACACACACACACACACACAGTTGGCGTAGAGGTCGCGGCCCCGGGGGCCTGGTCCCTGGTGCGCCGTTCTATGCATTTAAATCAGCAAGAATATTCAAAAATGTCGTGAATTGACCACAAATCGTTCCCCGAGCATTTCTGGATTACTTGTGAGCAGTCCTCCTTTCGGGGGGCCTGCCCGACTTCGGGGAAGGAAGGCTCGGGACGCGGACGCACGGGGACCGGGACGTGGCTACAGCCGCCTCTGCTACCACGAGGAGGCACGCATGGTGAGGAGCGCAGAGGGGGCCTTCCTGGCCGCGCCGGGCCCGGGCCACGCACGGGCTCCGCGACGCACGGGGACCAGGACGTGGCTACAGCCGCCGTGCTACCGCGAGGAGGCACGCATGGTGAGGAGCGCAGAGGGGGCCTTCCTGGCCGCGCCGGGCCCGGGCCACGCACAGGCTCCGCGACGCACGGATCCCGAGGAGCGGCCCCCGAGAGCCCGAGCCCGTCGTGAGCCCCAGGCGGGCCTTCTTGCAGCGTCTTGACCGTCGTGGAACGCGCTGGACCCCCCCCTTCCTTGCCCCCCCCTGCCCTTCGCTGTCGCGCGGCGCGCGCCGAGGCGTCGGGAAGGGCCGGGAGGCGGGCGGAGCCAGACGCTGCCCGGGAGCTCGTGGCCTCTCCCCGCTCCCCCCCCCCGCGGCGCCACTGGACCGAGGACCCCCCCCGGAAGAGGGGAGAGATGCCGCCGCCAGGGCTCGAGCCAAAAGCCAGGTGTTTCGTCTTCGTGTTTTTGTTCCGGTCTTCCTCGTTCTGTTCTCGTTCCCCTGGGGGAACGCCTCGGCGGCCCCCCTGCCCCCTCCCAGGGGTCGCCTCCACCCCATCCGATGGGTGCTCGGTGGCGGTGATAGACGGTGGGGTCCGCCCACGAGAAACCTTCCACAAGAAGCCCAACCCTGAGACCCCAGGACGTCTTTTGGTTTTGGGTGTGGAAACGTCACGCTGTCCACAGCAAAACCATGGAAGCAGAGGAAACCCAGGGCACCCCGGAGGCGAGCAGGGCATTTTTTGGCATGGGTCTCCACTGTATGTTCTTCCTCTGAGGGTTCCCTGAGAGCCGACCATGCGAGCATGAACCCGGCGCTACCCCGATCGGGGGAAGCCTACTGCATGGGCGCATCGCTTGGCGCATCGCTTGGCGCATCGCTTGGCGCTCCTTGGCGTTGCTTTGACATTGCTTGGGGTTGCTTGGCATTGCTTGGCATTGCTTGGCAGTGCTTGGCATTGCTTGGCATTACTTGCCATTGCTTGCCAGTGCTTGACATTGCGTCACATTGCTTTGCATGGGTTGGCATTGATTTGCATTGATTGGCGTTGCTTGTCATTGCTTGGCGTTGCTTGCTGTTGCTTGGCATTGCTTGGCATTGCTTGCTTGGCACTGCTTGACATTGCTTGACATTGCGTCACATTGCTTTGCATGGGTTGGCAATGTTTTGCATCGATTGGCGTTGCTTGTCATTGCTTGGCATTGCTTGGCGTTGATTGGCATTGATTGGCGTTGCTTAGCATTGCTTGGCATTGCTTGGCATTGCCTGCCGCATGATAGGCACTGCTGGACATTGCGTGGCATTGCGTGGAATTGCTTTGCATGGGTTGGCGTTGGTTTGCATTGATTGGCGTTGCTTGGCATTGATTGGCGTTGCTCTGCAAAAGCAACAAGAGCGGGGAACCCGAGGAGCCAAATCAAATTACAAGACCAGGGAAGCGGGGAACCCGAGGAACATCCAAGGAACGGGCAACGTAATAATACGATGCACTGGGGGCGGGGAAGCCGAACAACCTGAGGAACCTACGGAGAACGGGCAACGTAAGAATTCGAGGCACAGGGGGCGGGGAACCCGAGGAACCCGAGGAACCCGAGCAACCTCCGAGCAATGGGAAAAGTAACAATAGAAGGCACCAACCTTTAAACAAGTGAGAACCCCTTAGGCAAGCCGAATTTGGGAAAAACTCAACATCGCAAAAAATCACGACCAGAGCCAGATCTTTCTGCGGCACGTTTCGAGCCGGATCGATCTGTGACGGTCCTGAGAGCGAGCGAAAACGACCAGCGTGAAAAATTGCAAGCGCTCAGACATGCGAAGTCTTGACTTTTTCAATACGGAGTCCAGTTTCCCATACCGATCCGTTTCTTGACGGCCCTGGGGCCCAGCGAGGGCCCCTGGAGGTCGCAAACGGCTCAAAACCTCCCATCGTGTTTCTTCACGACGCGAGCATGTTTGAGTCCGGGAGTCAAAAATCGATCCCCGAACCCGTCTTGGGGTGCGCTCTGACTGGGATGCCGAGGCGGATGCAGCCGCCAGACCGAGGAGCCCCCGGTGGGAGGCCCAAAGAAGGGCGACAAACAAGTCCGAGCCCGATCCTCGGCTTCCAAACTCGGACCTCCGTCGCGAATTCTCAAAAGTCGGCGGCGAGCGGAGGGGGGAAGCGAGAAGGAGCGGGCTCGGAAGTCCCCCGGCCTTCTGAGAAGCCTTCTAAGCCTTCCCCACAGACAAAGGAAACCTCTAAGAAGGCCCGAAGCCTTCTGAGAAGCCACGCCGTCTTCAGAGAACGTCTTCGCCCAGGGATCGCCCTAAACAGTGCCTTTCGTTCTCGTCTTGTTTTCGTTTTCCCTCATCTTGTCTTCCATCCGCCTCTGCTGCAACACGAAATCGAAACGAAAACGGCCCACGACATCGCCAAAGCACCGTTCGAGTGGTTCGACCCATGCCTTCTCCTTCTTGGGCGAGCAACGACATATGTACATGTACGCCCTCCGCGATCTTGCCTGCACGAACGTCCGCGTTGACACGCACTCCAGGGGAAGCTAACCGCGTACGTGTACACATGTTGCTGGCCTCTGACTTCTCACGTCCCACCCTCGCGCGCCGCTGACAGAAGGAAGGTCTGGGAAAGGACGGGGTCTGTGCCTCCTCCGGGGAGCTCCCCTTGCCTGAGGTCGGGCATGTCCTCCTACAGGCGGATTTGAAAAGAAAACTGAAGATAGGCAAAACACATCTATTCTCATTGGTCTTATTATTTATGTTATATTTAATTAACGAGTCGAACAAAGTCGTCCCCAAACTATGCTTGACCATTTTTGAATATTCCTCCTGCAGAGGGACATGCCCCACTTAACCCTCGCCCGGGCGAGGAGCCTGCCCCACGCGGACAGCGCCCCGCCGAGCGCGCGGCGCCGGGCGACCCGGTCGACCAGCAACCGCACGGTCTGCCAGAGCTGCACGGACTCGGCGGCGGGCATGGCGGGCTCTGAATGCTCTGGGGGCTGCGGGGAGGAGGAGGGGGAGGAGGAGGAGGAGGAGGAGGAGGAGGAGGAGGAGGAGGAGGAGGAGGAGGGAGGAGGAGGAGGAGGGGGGAGGAGCAGTAGGAGGAGGAGGAGGAGGAGAAGGGGAGGAGGAGGAGGAGGACGAGGGGGAGGAGGGGGAGGAGGGGAGGAGGAGGAGGAGGAGGAGGAGGAGGAGGAGGAGGAGGAGGAGGAGTAGGAGGAGGAGGAGGAGGAGGAGGAGGGGGAGGACGAGGGAGGAGGAGGAGGAATGCTGCTGCTGCTGCTGCTGCTGCTGGGTCAGAAAGGGGGCTCTCAGACCTCCAACGCATAGAAAAAAGCAAGACGGGCTTTTGCTCGTCGTTTCTCCGTCCTCGGGGGGGAGGGCCCCAGCAGGGCCAGGGCCCCAGGACCGTCAGAAGCCGGCTCACGAAGCAAAACAAGCCCTGGGGAAAGGGCTGGCCGGGACTTCCGGGCTGGTGTCGCAAGGTGCGCTGTGCTGCCCTTTACGCACGTCTTTATGGAGGCCTATGTTAGTCAGGATGCGGGCGGATCAGCGGCACATGGAAACAAATGGCGGCGCATAGCAGCACACGCCCCGCGCCAATCTTCCACCAATCACCCCCCCGTTCGCGGCTAACGGCCGCAAAGGCAAAGGAACGTCGGTGGAATTCAAAGCTTCCATCAGAAGCAAGGGTGGCATGCTGCTGCTCACGTGCTAGACTCCCTCAAGAGTCACGGCGCGCTGGCGCGCGCAACGATGGCGACGGTTCGATCGAGAAGGATACGGCGCGCGAGAGCCGCGAAGCGGCGGCTGTAAAGCCTTCGCGGGCGAGCGCAAGGCGGTCCTTTTCGGCAGCGCGGGCACCGCGCGGCTCGCAGCGGCGGCGGGGCGGACCTGACAGGGCGCCTCGCAGCGGGGGCCCTCACCGTTGGGCGGCGTCGGCCTTGCGCTTCAGGGCGCGGCAGGTACGCTTCTGGACCTTGGGCGCGCGGGGGACCGGGGGGGGGGGCGGGGGCGGGATAGGACACCTCGAGCGGACAAGGCTGAGCCTCCCAGCAACGAAGGTTTGAGCGCAGCCCCAGACGTGCCCAGCGGCACAGGGTCCCCCACCAGCCAAGATGCCAGCAAAACGTCTGGCCTCGGAAAGCTGCCGTCCGTGCGGCTGGAGGGGTGGCGAGGGGGGGGAGCAGGCCAGGAAGAGGGGAGAACTGGTCTCCTCACGCGCCCTCCTCCTGTTTCTCATCCTCCTCCTCCTCCTCCCCCTTCCTCCTCCTCCGTTCCTTCTTCTTGTAAATATCTTTTCCCAGTCCGAAGCCAGTTCACTCCATTCGGGAACTCCCGAGCGAAGTGAACCCCACCCTCCCCCTCAGAAATCGTGGGGGGTAGGGGTAGAGTTCGCACGTGGCCCCCTGCCTCCTCCCCACACGAACGTCGCCCCTGGGAGGGCACCCCCAGAGCGCAGGGCGCAGCCGCCGAAGAGCACCCCCAGGCGGCAAAGCCGCCGAGGACCGACGGAAACGTGCAACATCGTCAAGCCTCGAATCCGTCGGAGCCCCCTCAAAGCTTGACCCCCCTTGCGACGTCGGCGTGAATAACATCGGGCCCCGGCCGATGCATCAGCGAAGCGGCGCGATCCTCCAACCCCATCCACTCAGACCTCCTCTGGGAGCCCAGAAGTGAGCCTCCGCCCCCTGAGCAAGTCCCACCATGACGTTGCCCCTGAGAGAGCACATCTGGACGCCTGAAATGGGCACTGACGGAAAAATGGGCACGATGCCCAACAACAAACCGTGTCCAAAACCGACAGCGGCCGCTGTTTGCTAGGAACCACATCCAGGAGGCCTCTATATGAGCGGAATGGGCACGGAATGAAGGGGCACATGGAATGGAAGAAGTGACTGGGGCCAGCCCTTCCACTCTTTTCCAGCCCTGGCCAGTTTCCCTTCATTTTATCCAGCCCTGGCGACCGCATCCCTACTGTGTCGGGGAGCTCGCTTCACCCACGGCCAGTTTTTGCAGCCCTGGCCACTTCTACTTTATCTGATTTTCCAACTCCCACTTTTTCTAGCTTCCCTCTACTAAGACCGACATCACTTCGCCGTCCTTTTTGAACGGGGTGCGCTGTCGGCGTTGCCGCGGACGTTGTCCATTCGATGCAGATGGGGTAGGAGGATCGCGCCGCATCGCCGATACATCGGCGATGCATCGGCGATGCATCGGCGATGCACTGGCCACGTCGGCGCTGCACCGGCAGCGCCGACGTGCAGAAAATCGGGCTCCGCATCGAGCCGCACCAGCGATGCAGCGGCGATGCGGCGCAGTCCTCCGACCCCCTCTCCTCCGACCTCACCTAGGAGGCCTAGATCATACCGAGCATGACCAGCCTGGAACATATCCCTATCCCTATGCTGGGCATCGCCTCATCACGATGCCGACCTTAGGGATTCCCTTATTTCTTGAGGGCGCATCCCTAAGACTGTCATCGCTTCTTGGCGTGTCAATCTTAGGGATAGGGCTAAGTTCGAGGCTGGTAATAGCACGAGTGACGGGCAGCTCCCACGGGTGGAGCACCGACCTCTGGACCTCACCTCAGTCCACCTCGTTGTAAAAAGCCTCTGTGCGTTCCCAAGGGGTGTTTTTTCCCCCCTCTTAACCTAAATTCCTGAATTCCTTTGTTCGGGCTTTTGGATTAGGAGGCGCAATCCTCCGACCCCCTCTCCTCCGACCTCACCTAGGAGGCCTAGACCATACAGGGCAGGGTTGAATACATAGGATTTCTAAAAACATAGGATTTTAATTCATGATTAATGTATGGGTAAATTTATGCATGAACTCCTCGTTGTTTTTTTAACTCAACCCCTGCATTTTTAATACATGATCCGCACGCGGAGCATGTATCAAAAGCGGCACTGTACCGAGCACGAGGACGGGCAGCCCCCGCGGGCGGGGCACCGACCTCGGCCTGGATCCGCAGCCGCGCGGCCACCGCCTGCGAGGACGCGCACTGGGCCTGCGCGGGCCGGGGGTTGCGGCGCGGCCGCTGCGGCCGCCATGGGAGGCCGGCGGCCTTCGGGGCACCGCCCCACGGGCGGAGCGATCTCGGGTGCAACGGCAACAACCATCTCACCGATCGGCCAGAAGAATAGGGGGCCACATGCGAACCCTGCCCCTACCCCCCACCCGATTACTACTCCTACTAGCATTACTACTCTCATTACTACTCCTATGACTACTACTACTATTATTACTACTCCTCTTACTACTCCTATTCTTATTTCTACTACTATTATACTAGTATACTACAAGTATTATTACTAGTATTATTGGCATTATTGGTATCAGTAGTCTTATCATTCTGAGTCGTACCATTATAATTACCCTTCTCATTCGTATGCTTATTCTTCTTCCGAATGTTATTCTTATTATCCGCATCACTATCCTTATCATTAATATCCTTGTTTGTCTTGTGAATGTTCGCAATGTGATTTTTGTTCGGGCTAGTAGTATGACTAATAGAATTAAGGTTCATTCATGTATTATTCATGTTAGTATTAGTATAACTGTTCGCATTATCAACATTACTATCAATATTCCCATCAGCGGTATGTTCGTAATACGATTATTCATACTCTTCTTACGTTGCGCATTATTAGTAGTATGCGTCCTAATTGTATCATTCGTTTTCTTATGGTTGTCCTTCTTGGTTTCAGCAGTCTTAGTCTTCTTATTAGTCTTACGCTTCTCATTTGCGTTAGTATCATTATGCTCCCCAACCATAATATTAGTGTTAGCATTAGTTTTGTATGTATTGGTTTCTTTTTTATCGTAGTATACTATCAGTATTGGTCATAGTATTCCGTTTCGTTTTATTAATATTATTCGTATACATAGTTTGCTGCTGGGTATTATGATGGTTATGCGCTTGATGGTTATGAATATTGTTATTATTCATCCTCCTCCTTTTCCTCCTCCTCCTCATCCTTCGTCTCCTCCTCCTCCTCCTCTTCCTCCTCCTCCTTCTCTTCCTCCTCCTCCTCCTCCTCCGCCTCGTTCGTTCCCTCCCCCTCCTCTTCCTCTTCCTCCTCGTCCTCCTCCTCCTCCTCCTCCTCTTAATATTAGTTAGTAGTAGTATCATTAGTATTATTAATATTATTGTTGTTAACATTACCATTATTACATTATTATTACTATTAGTATTACTATTATGAGTATAGTTACGCTTAGTCTTAGTAGTACTATTAGTATGATTATTCTTAGTCTTAGTATCAGTACTCTAAGTATTATCAGTATCATTCTTATGCTTCGCATTAATATTACCAGTGCTAGTAATATTACAATGATCGGCCGTTTTAGTATCAGTATTATTCAAATGAGTCTGCCTGTTAATTTACCTGTTACTAGTTTTCTTAGTCATCTTCTTATTATTATTCGTAGTACTAGCAGTATTGATCGTATTCGTCTCATTCGTTTTATGTTTATTTATGTGATTGGTATGATTACTCTGTTTCTTCTTCGCCGTAATAGTACTAGTATTGCTCACTTATTATGAGTAGCACTATTATTCCTAGCCGTCCCATACGTACCCTTATTATTCATAATGTCATGTGGATTCGTCGTATGTGTCGTGTCAGTCTTCTTGTTGGTTTTATTAGTATTGTCCTTCTTCGTCGTACTCTTCGTATTAGTAGTAGCCGCACACGTATTATCATCGCTCGTAGTATTAATTAAATGTTTTACTTGACGGATTCGCAATATGAGTCGCATTACTCTGATTAGTCGTATGATTCGTCTTCTTCTTCGTAACAAGTGACACGTGTGCCAACGCTCTTGCACAAAAAGGAAGGGGGAGGAGGAAGAGGAGGTGGAGAAGGGAGGAAGAGGAGGCAAGACATCGTCCCTCGGGGCCCAGCAACGGGGCCCAAATCCTAGGTGGGGAGGGGGGGAGGTGGCGTGCGTCGCGACGCGGAATAAAATGCTCGGAGCGGAGGGGGCACGAGGCGGAGGTCCCACTGGGGCGCTGGGGGCGCGAAAAGAGGGGGTGGGCGTGCGTCGCGACGCGGAAAAAAAATCGGGGCAGAGGCCACGGGCGGGCGCCCACTGGGGCGCTGGGGACGCGGGGGGAGGGGGGGAGGTGGCGGTGCGTCGCGACGCGAATAGAATGCTCGGGGCGGAGGGGGCACGGGGCGGAGACCAGTGGGGCGCTGTGGACGCGGGGCGGCTCGGGGCCACGGGGCGGGGGTTTCATTGGGGGCGCTGGGGACGCGGCGGGATGGGGGGGTAGATGGTGTGCGTCGCGACGCGGAATAAAGTTGTCGGGGCGGAGGGGGCAGTGGGCTGGGCTCGTGCCGACTGGGGCGGCGGGGACGCGTGGGTGAGGTGGGGGAGGTGGTGTGCGTCGCGACGCGGAAGAAAACGTTCGTGGCGGAGGGGGCTGTGGGCGGGGCTCCTATTGGAGCGCTGGGGACGGGGGGGGTTCGGGCCGAGTGGCTGGGCTCCTACCGGGGCGCTGGGGACACGGGGGGGAAAGGTGGGGGAGGTAGTGTGCGTCGTGACGCGGAATAAAATGGTCGGGGCGGAGGGGGCACTGGGCGGGGCTTGGGGCAGAGGGCCACGGGGCGGGGGTCCAACTGGGGCGCTGGGGACGGGGAGGGGGGGAGGTGGCGCGCGTCGCGACGCGGAATAAAATTGTCGGGGCGGAGGGGGCACGGGGCGGAGCCCCCACTGGGGCGCTGGGGACGCGGGGAGGGAGGTGGGGGAGGTGGTGTGCGTCGCGACGCGGAATAAAGCGTTCGTGGCGGAAGGGGCAGTGGGCGGGGCCCCCGCTGGGGCGCTGGGGACGCGGGGGGGCTCGGGGCAGAGAGCCACGGCGCGGGGGTCCCACTCTGGCGCTGGGGACGCAGGGGGGGGGGGTCGAGGGTCCCACTGGGGCGCTGGGGATGTTGGGTGAAGGGGGGGGGTGGCGTGCGTCGCGACGCGGAATAAATTGTCGGGGCGGAAGGGGCACGGGGTGACACTCCCACTGGGGCGCTGGGGACGCGGGAGAAAGGTGGTGGGGGAAGTGGTGTGCGTCGCGACGCGGAATAAAGCGTTCGTGGCGGAGGGGGCAATGGGCGGGGCTCCCACTGGGGCGCTGGAGACGCGGGGGGGCTCGGGGCAAAGGGCAACGGGGCGGGGGTCCCACTGTGGCGCTGGGGACGCAGGGGGAGGGGTGGGGGAGGTGGTGTGCGTCGCGACGAGGAGTAAAATTGTCGGGGCGGAGAAGGCACTGGGCGGGGGGACGACTGGGGCTCTGGGGACGCGGGGGGGAAGGTGGGGGAGGTGGTGTGCGTCGCGACGCGAAATAAACTGGTCGTGGCGGAGGGGGCAGTGGGCGGGTCGCCACTGGGGGAGGGGGGGTGGTGATGTGGTGCGTGAGGAGGAGGAGGTGGGTGTTCGTCGCGACGCGGAATAAACTGGTCGGAGCTCTAGACACCCTGTGCAAGAGTATATGTTTCATACTAGTATGAATATGATAATATTTCTGATTATTCGTCCTCCTCCTCCTCTTCCTCTTCCTCCCTTTTCCCCCTCCTCCTCCTCCTCCTCTTCCTCCTCTTCCGTTTCCTCCTCCTCCTCCTGCTCCTCCCCTTCCTCCTCCTCCTCCTCCACTCATCACTCTTCTTATTATTATGATTCCGAATATTCCTTGTTCTCCTCCTCCTCCTCCTCCTCGTCCGCCTCCTCCTCCTCCTCCTCATCCTCCTCGTCCATCTCCTCGTCGTTCTCCTCGTCCTCCTCCTCCTCCCCCTCCTCCTCTTCCTCCTGCTCCTCCCTCTTCTCGGCGGGCGACTGGGCGCCTGCTGGACGCTGTTCAGGGCGCCCGAGGCCTCCGTCCCCACCTCACCGAGGTACGACGCGGTGGCGACGGCTCCTGCCCCCCCCAGCCCCGGCCGCGGCCGCGAGGGGGCGGGCGCACGCCCAGGTCTCCAAGAAGGAATACTGGAGGCCTGGAGGTGGGCACCAACACCAACGCAGGGGTTTGCCTCCACGGGGGGAAGATGGTCCTAGACTTCGGCGTTGGTGGTGATAGTTCGGTCCCCTCGGAAGCCAGAATATTACCACCATCATCGAGGTCGGGATCTTCTTCTCTCGGTGGAGGCACACCGCCGATATTGGTGTTGGTGTCAACCTCTGGGCCTGCGAGAATAGACACGCCGCGTGCCCAGCGGGCGCGCGAGCAGCGCGCGCTCTGCGCACGCCAGGCGCCCGCACGCGCGCGGGGGGGCAGCGGGAACCCGCCGCCCCGGGACCCGGCAGGGGCTCCGGGGAACCGAGGAGGAGAAAGAGAGGAGAGAGGAAACACGGAGAGGACGGAGTGGAGGAGCGGAGGGAGACGGAGAGGACGGAGCGCGGCGGACTGGCGAGAGCCAGAAGCAGCGACGCATCAACGGGACTGGCTGTGGCCACGGGGATGATCTTCTTCAGTCTGGCCATGCCATGCATATTCTCGGTGTACATTCTACGTGGTGCACTGTATATGGTGCAATATGTGTGGTGCAACCTGCACGGCGCATTCTATGGTGCGCAGTCTACGTGGATCAAGATATGCGGAGCAATGTATGTGGTGCAAGGCAGTATGTGCAATAGATGAAGGGCAACCTACGTGGTGCAAGCGACACAGTGCAATTCACCCTGCCGAAATGAAAATTGTCAACCCCACTGCTCGCGCAATCATACGCCCCACCCGCCCGCAACTTGGTTTGCAAAACCCATGCGGCCGCGATTGCGCTGACTGCTTGGGGCTGGCTGGCGCTTCGCTGCGGCCGCGCCACCCCGCGCAGCCTCTCGCGCAGAGCGGTCAATCAGGCTGGCGCGACCAACGCGGCCGCTGTGGCGGTGACCGCTGGGGACTTCCTACCGTGTCTCGCAGGCCGCGCTGACGCGCGGGCAATTCACTGCGTGTCGGTGATTCGGGCAGGCGCGGTATCATGGCGACGCCGACAACGGCAGACACGATGATCATAATAGCGATGTTGGTGGCGATGATGCCGATGACGACGGCAAGGACGAAGGCGCCGATGCTGATCCAACCGATGGCGACGATGGTGTCGACGTCTCGGTGATGAAGGCTTTGGAAGAATTTCGACATGCGCGCGGTCGACGGGCGCGGGTGACCCGCATGGTACCATTTGACATGGACCGTGCCCCACCTCCCCCAGCAAGCGCGCGAAGGCGTTCGAATGATGAATGATTTCGGCATGCGCGCGCGAGAGGCCAACTTGTTCGCATGTGATGAACATGTTGAAAACCGATGGCTGTCGTAAGACGTCGCAAGAGCGCGCGCAAACTTGTTGGAACAAAAACAGGGTGTGAAACAAATGATTATTAGATTGTTCAGGCACCTCGATCTTGAAATGTACTTAACCCAAGGTGTTTGAAGAATTTCCTCATGCGCGCGCGACAACGAGCGCGTGTGGACGTTGTCCCGTTTATGAATTGGGATTCCTGCCCCCAACAAGCGCGCAAGGCCGTTGGAATGACTTCGGCGCGCGCAGACTTTCTGAAAAAATGCTGCGAAACCATAATTTGCATGTTTGGGGAACCTCGATCCTGAAACGCGTACGAAAACCACGATGTAACACAAAAACGTGGCATACGCGCGCGACGACGCGCGCGTGTGGACTGCGTTTCATTTTCGGCCACGGAATATTTGACAACTGACACTTGTTTGATAAACGAGAGTGCGTGTGTAGTGGTATATGACGAGGGCGAAGGGGGAGGCCGATACTGGCTGGGCTGGGACTATCTGAATTTAGAATTAGAACGAAAGATGGGGCAGAATCATACGTGAATCGAAATATCCCAAGGGGAAGCGATTAAATTGTGGGGATCAACATGCCATGTTAGACTGGAACAGAAAGGTCATGCAATAGATGTAGGGCCTTCTATGTGGTGCAATATGTCTGGTGCACTCCATGTCGTGAAACGTATGTGGTGCAGTAGATGGTGCGTGGTGCAACCAATGTTTTGCAGTATATGTGGTGCCATTTATGTTGTGCCATCTCTGTGGAGCAATACACCTGCCGCAACATATGTGATGCAGACAATGTGGTACAATACATGTTGGAAAAAAACGTTGTGCAGTATATGTGGTGCACTCGATGTGGTGCAGTATGCGTTGCAATATATATATATATATATATATATATATATATATATATATACATATATATATATATATATATACATAAACATATACCTATACCTATATATATATACATCGATGGGCACGCGTAGCACGATGCTCCGACCCCATCTCAACGCCCCTGCCAAACTCGGGGGGGGGGGTGGGGCGCACACACGGCGTTACGCCCGGCTTTCCTGCGATCGCGGATGGCGGCCTGGGGGCGAGGGCGAAAACAGAGGGCATCGGACGCACGGGGGGGCCGCGGAACCCCAGCCGGGCTTGGCCCCGTTGGTGGCACCACCCTCGAGAGAGCACGGCCCGTCGCACCGAAGAGTGGTGGGCCAGACCCCGCGCAGCGGCACGCGACCCGCGGGTTCCAGGCCACCTTTGCCCCCGAAACGGAGCGGTCGGAGCGGCCTGGGCGTTCGCCCCTGGCCCGCACACCTGCTTCACGGCGGCCCGCGGCAGCGGCATCCAGGCGGTCAGGCAGCGCCCGCTGCCGTGCCCAAGGCTCGGCCGTCCAGGTGGGAATCCAGCAACTCGCACCGAACTGCCACAGCCCATCCCTCGACCGAGGGCAGCACAGCCCACCCACCCCCCAGCCACGACCCACACTCCCCACATGGTGATCCAGCGGTTCCTGTCTGGGGGTGGGGGTAATTTTTCGAGGCCCTTGGGAGCAAAGAAACGCCCACATCCACACCCAGGACCGCTTGGATCAGCAGGTCGGGAGTGCGGGTCCCGGCTGGGGGTGGAACGCCCGAAGGCGGCGGGAGTGGCATGACTCGACGCGGAGACCCAAGACGCGCATCTCATACTCCTGTCACGCCTCGCTGAGGAACTCTGTCTATCGGCATCTGGGTGTGAGAGCGAGCCCGCGTAGACGACAGGCGCGGCAACGCCGACGACGAGGACGACAGCGGCGACTTCAGTGACGTCATCCTCCTCTGTACATCTTTCGGGCGAGACGAGGGAAACACAAGTGGAAGAGAGAGGGGGGGCTTCCTCTTGCCAGTCTCCCCGCGGTAACACACGCAAGCGCGCATGACGTTGCTACATACGCACTCTGGCGTGTTATTCGCCGCGGTTCCTGGCATTTGAGGTGCCCAAGGGCCACGCCAGCTATTTCGTGGTAACCGCTTGTGTGTGAACCTTGGCGCGAGTGAATCTGAGCGTGGGCGATCTGTGTGTGAGCGAGTCCGAGTGTGAGTGGATCTGGGTACGATTGACCCTGAATGAGCCTGGGTATAGTCAGTCTGAAAACGAGTGGGTCTGAGTATGCTTGAGCCTGAGTGCGAGCGAGTCTTAGTGCGAGTGGGTCTGATTGCGAAGGAGTCTGAGTGTGGGTGAGTCTGAGTTTGGAAGTAATGAATGAAAGTCCAAGTATGAGTGGGCCTGGGTGCCAGGTAGCCTAAGTACGAATGAGTGTGAGGGTGAGTGAGCCTGAGTAAGACTGAGTCTGAATGTGAGTTGGTATAGGTGTGAGTCTGAGTTCGAGTGGGTCTGAGTTCTCATTATGAGCGAAGAATGAATGAATATGAGTATGCTTGAATATGGGTGGGCATGGGTGAGTCTGACTGTAACAAGTGAGTCTGAGGGAGGAAAAAGTGCTGATGAGCAAGTCCGAGCGCGAATGAGTGCGGCTCATTGGGGACAAGAGGAAGGCGGTGAGTGAGTGAGTGAGTGAGTGAGTGAGTGAGTGAGTGAGTGAGTGAGTGAGTGAGTGAGTGAGTGAGTGAGCACACAAGTCCAAAGATATGTCCGCTGGGCAACAAAACTGAAACTGGCAAACCGTTTGACACATCCCCACGGTCTGGGAGCGAATCCTTACCCATGGCAGCTCCGCCTTGGGGGTGCCAAATGCCACGCCTGCCACATCGCGGTGCGCATGGAACCACAAAAAGAGAAACCTTGGGGGGGCAGATACAGGCAAATCGCCTGAAGCGACCCCACAATCTAAGCACGCCTCCTGGAATGTCCCCATTCCTGGCGGCCCACCTCTGGGGTGCCCAAATGCCACGCGTGCAATATCGCTGTGGGCATCGGACCACAAGCAAAGGGCCTGGGAGGCAGAAACATGCAGACCTCCTGAGACATACTCACAAGCTGGGCGCGAATCCTGGGGTGTTGCCACCCCTGGCGGCTCCCACTTGGGGTGCCCTACTGCCATGCCTGCTATATCGGGGTGAACAATGGACCACAACAACAAAAAAATGAGGGGGGGCAGAAACAGGCAAACCGCGTGAGTCACCCGCACAATCTGGACGCAACTTTTGGAGTGTCCACACCCGTGGCAATTCCCCCCTGGGGGGCCCAAATGCCACGCCTGCTATATCAGTGTGAGCACTGGGCAACCACAAGAGAAAAGCCTGGGGGCAGCAAATGACAAACCACTTCACACATCCCAGCACTCTGGGCGCGAATCCTGTCTGAATGCCACGCCTGCTATATCTCGTTGATCTTTGGACCAACAAAAATCTGGGGAGGGGGGGGGAGAAACCCGCAAAACGCTTGAGTCATCCCCACAATGTGGGCGCGACTGTTGGAGTGTCCCCACCCCTTGCTGCTCCCCCGTGGGGTGCCTAATTGCCATGCCTGCTATGTCGCTGTGAACATTGGCCCACCAAACCGCTTGAGTCATCCCCATGTTCTGGGCGGGGGTGTCGTCACCCCTGGCGGCTCCCCCTTGGGATGCCCAAATACAACCCCTGCTATATCGACGTGAATATTTGCCCACGAAAAGG